CACTTTGCTTGATCTGCTGGCAATGCTCCTACTAATGCAGCCCAATATGTCATTAGTCTTCTTGGCAACAAGGGCACACTGTTGACTCATATCCAGCTTCTCGTCAACTGTAACCCCAGGTCCTTTTCTGCAGAACTGCTGCTTAGCCAGTCGGTCCCCAGTCTATAGCAGTGCATGGGATTCTTCCGTCTTAGGTGCAGGACTTGTTGAACCTCATTAGATTTCTTTTGGCCCAATCCTCTAATTTGTCTAGGTCCCTCTTTATCCTATCTCTACCCTCCAGTGTATCTACCACTCCTCCCAGTTTAGTGTCATCTGCAAACTTGCTGAGTGTGCAATCCATGCCATCCTCCAGATCATTAATGAAGATATTGAACAAAACCGCTTGATACTGGCTGCCAACTAGACATGGAGCCATTGATCACTACCCGTTGAGCCTGACGACCTAGCCAGCTTTCTATCCATCCTATAGTCCATTCATTCAGCCCATACTGCTTTAACTTGCTGGCAAGAATACTGTGGGAGACCATATCAAAAGCTTTGTTAAATTCGAGGAATATCATGTTCACCGCTTTCCCCATATCCTCAGAGCCAGTTATCTCATCATAGAAGGCAATCAGGTTGGTCAGGCATGACTTGCCCTTGGTGAATCTATGTTGACTGTTCCTGATCACCTTCCTTTCCTCCAAGTGCTTCAAAATGGATTCCTTGAGGACCTGCTCAATGATTTTTCCAGGGACTGAGGTGAGGCTGACTGGTCTGTAGTTCCCCGGATTCTCCTTCTTCCCTTTTTAAAAGATGGGCACTATTTTGCCTTTTTTCAATCGTCCAGGACCTCCCCCAATCGCCATGAGTTTTCAAAGATAATGGCCAATGGCTCTGTAATCACATCAGCCAACTCCCTCAGCACCCTCAGATCCCAACCCATCGGCATGTGCATGTCCAGCTTTTCTAAATAGTCCTTAACCTGTTCTTTCACCACTGAGGGCTGCTCACCTCCTCCCCATACTTTGCTGCCCAATGCAGCAGTGTGGGAGCTGACCTTGTCTGTGAAGACCAAGGCAAAAAAAGCATTAAGTACTTCAGCTTTTTCCACATCATCTGTCACTAGGTTGCCTCCCCCATTCAGTAAGGTCCCACACTTTCCCTGACCTTCTTCTTTTTGCTAACATACCTGTAGAAACCCTTCTTGTTACCCTTCACATCCCTTGCTAGCTGCAACTCCAATTGTGCTTTGGCATTCCTGATTACACCCCTGCATGCTCGAGCAATATTTTTATACTCCTCCCTAGTCATCTGTCCAAGTTTCTACTTCTTGTAAGCTTCCTTTTTTGTTTAAGCTCACCGAAGATTTCTCTGTTAAGCCAAGCTGGTCGCCTGCCATGTTTGGTATTCTTTTTGCACATTGGGATGGTTTGTTCCTGCACCCTCAATAAGGCTTCTTTAAAATAAGGCTTCTCTTGGACTCCTTTCGACCTCTTTAAGGCTTCTCTTGGACTCCTTTCAACCTCATATTAGTCTCCCAGGGGATCCTGCCCATCAGTTCCCTGAGGGAGTCAAAGTCTGCTTTTCTGAAGTCCAGGGTCCGTATTCTGCTGCCCTCCTTTCTTCCCTTTTGTCAGGATCCTGAACTCAACCATCTCATGGTCGCTGCTGCCCAGGTTGCCACCCACTTCTACTTCCCCTACCAAATCTTCCCTGTTTGTGAGCAGCAAGTTAAGAGGACATGGCCCCTAGTTGGTTCCTCCAGCACTTGCACCAGGAAATTGTCCCCAACACTCTCCAAAAATTTCCTGGATTGTCTGTGCACTGCTGTATTACTCTCCCAGCAGATGTCAGGGTGATTGAAGTCCCCCATGAGAACCAGGGCCTGTGATCTGGAAACTTCTGTTAGTTGTCCAAAGAAAGCCTCGTCCATCTCATCCTCCTGGTCTGGTGGTCTATAGCAGATGCCCACCATGATATCACCCTTGTTGCTCTCGCCTCTAAACTTAACCCTCAACAGGTTTTTCTCCAGTTTCATACTGGAGCTCTGAGCCCTGTTTGCCTGTCCACGGTTTGCTGCTCACTCGGGCCTTGGCTACACTTGTGAGTTACAAACACTGTAAAGCTGCCCACAGCGCTGTAACTCACTGACCGGCTACACTGGCAAGGCACGTACAGCGCTGTATCTCCCTGGGTACACCGCTGCGTTACTCCACCTCCCCGAGAAGCATAAGAGTACAGCAGAGTGGCTACGACTCTCGCCTGTGACTGTGTACCAGGAAACAACCTGCAGTGCTGTACTGATCACCTTGTCAAGTGGCCAATCCTCTCCATTGTTGTGACCGGCTGCAGGAATGCGGAAGTGCCGGTTTCAAAGCTCGTACCACAGAGAAAAAGCAAACAGTTTGCTGTTTGCTTTGAGTGAGTGAATGAATGAGCAGGGGGCTGGGCGTTCAGAACTTGCAAAATAGAGTGCTGACACGCTCCAAAAAGCACTCTCTCTCCCCCCACACTCCCTGTCAAAATCCACCGCCGTTCTGAAAAGCACATTGCAGCCACATTAATGCTGGGATAGCTGCCCATAATTCACCGCTCCCAACACAGCTGCAAATGTTGCAAGTGTGGCCACGCCACTGCGCTGGCAGCTGTCAGTGTGGACAGACTGCAGCGCTTTCCCTACTCAGCTGTATGAAGACAGGTTTACCTCACAGCGCTGTACAGCTGCAAGTGTAGCCAAAGCCTCAGTTTGCAACTGGCTGTTTTTTTTATAAGGCTGCTGGCTTGAAGCAGTTGGCCCAGCTCAAAGCCTTCCCTCCAATCAACCACTCAAGGCCAACCTGGAACAAAGCACTCCCAATTCACACTTTTCAAACAAACAAACACGGTTAAACAGTCCCTGCAACTAGCTTCAGTCAAACAAATGGTCACAGCAGACAGACACTCGGATAGTCACCCTACCAGTTCACAACACAGCCCCTCTAATGTAGCATTAACCGTAGCACTCACTCTCCAACAGTTCCCAGGCATACAACCTCTGTTTGCCTGTCCTCGGTTCACTGCTCACTCGGTTCGCAACTGGCTGCTTTTTTATAAGGCTGCTGGCTCAAAGCAGTTGGCCCAGATCAAAGCCTTCCCTTGAAGTGCATAACACTTGGCAGCCCTGCACACCCCTCAAGTATATCGAGGTCAGTACAGGAGTAGATGTTTTCTCACTGTGTAGGTTCTTGGGGTACCCAGGACTGTGAGTCACCTTGTTACTCCCTGCCACCAGCAACAGGGTATCATGCTTGTGCGTAGCTGGGTGTCAGCTCCCTGACACCAGCAGTTTGTCAGCCACTTAAGCACTCTCCTCTGGGGGCTATGCCAGGCCTTACTTTGCCTTGCATGTTAACAGTATGTCCACCCCAGTCCCTAAGTCTCCTTTAATGTTCAGTCAACACTCTCAGAAATGCCAGGTCTGCTGTCTCCAAAGGAACAATCTACATGTCAGCTTGTAAGATTCAGGTCAGGACCAGTACTTTGCTTAATATCACAGAGCTTAGATATATTTATAATGAAAACAAGAATAAATTTATTATCAAAGATTCAAGATAAGTGATAGTGAGTTAGGCTGCTAGAAACAAATGATTACATAGAAAATTATAACATACTTTTCTAGAGACTAAACTTAACTAATGGGTTAATTTCCTGCCTAAAGAAACTTTATTTCACCCAAAGTCTTTTGCAGTGTTTTCAACCAAGGCTGGCTGTGATCCTATTTTCATGAATGCAAATGTGGCATTCGTTTACTTCCAAGGTACAGGATGAGGTGGTGTCTACTTTGCATTCTATGTATACCCCCCAAACTTAATTGTCCATACTCAGAGCCAGGATAACCACCCATGGCTAGTTTTTTCTGTGTGCTGCTTTTCAGTTGACTTTACATCTCTTTATTATTATTTGACTTTGTATGTAAATGGTAATTCACTGTTAGCGTGCAATGCTTCATTTACATCCCTATAGAGAAATACATTCCTTATCTCCTGTCTAGAGGAAAACCTGTTTTTCACCTCTGCTGGTGACTAATTCCAGACTTTAAAACCATTTTTTCAGTATATACACATAACTCTGTATACAGTATCTGTACATACGTTTCACAATTATATTAATGATCAGTGTGACCCTCAGTTTTCATTTAAGACCTCACTTGACATTCTTTGGTGAACCAGGATGTACATAGCAGAATCAAGATATACCTGTAACTCTCTTGCCAGCTGGCCACATTCACATTGCTGAATACCAGAGGAAGTCCTGACGAGTACCCATACGTCAGAGAGGACAACGGCTGACTGGCGCAGTCTATGGAGGGAGCTCAGAGACCAGGTCAATGCTGTGGGCAGGTGTAGGTGGAGGTGAGAAGACATGAAAAATAATGTTTTAAAAATGCATGTGTAACTCTGGCCTCCTTTATCCTTAACATCCATCTCAGTCACCCTCCTGTGAGCTAGAAAGCTTCCTGTAGAAGCCAATCACGGATACTCTGGCCTCGGGTGGCTCTGGGAAGTGGCCTGGGCTGGGGCAGAGTGAGGCTCACCCGCTGCTGTGCAGGACACCAGAGGACACCCCACTTCCTGCCCCAAATTGCCTACCTGCTTCCTCAGGCCCTGTATGGAGATGGGGGATCAAAGGGGGCCTGGCTCTCTCCTGAGCATTTCAGGAAGCGGTTCGGACTCTCTGTGCCTATCAGGTCAGTAACGCTTTGACGCTTCCCCGTTCAGCGCGTCCCCGCACCGGGAGGGCTTGTGTATAAAAGGCGCCCAAGCCTGGCTCGCTCGCTGTCGGCGACCGGCGGGACCTGTGTGAGGGACACCCGAGCCTGGGCGGGGCGGGGCTTGTGGGGGGCGGCCTTGGGGGGGGGCGGAACCCGAGGCCGTGCGGGGCGGGGCCTGTGTGAGGGACACCCGGGGCCGTGCGGGGCGGGGCCTTGGGGGCGGAACCCGAGGCCGTGCGGGGCGGGGCCTGTGTGGTGGGGAAGCGGAGGCCGTGTGGGGCGGGGCCTGTTTGAAGCGGGGACTCGGGGCCGCGCGGGGCGGAGTCTGGGGGCGGCGGGGCCGCGCCGGCAGCATGAGGGCGCACGAGCAGGAGCTGAAAATGGAGAGCGACATTCTAGACGCGTTGGAGGCTTTGGGGTGAGTGTGCGTGGGGGCGGCCTCCTGCCCTCTCAGCCGCCGGGCCTGTCTGTCGTTCCCGTTGTGCAGAGGCGCCATGGGCCCCGTTTCCGGGCGGGGGATAACACTCGGTTCCCGCAGCTCCACTGCAGCAGCCTGCGCTGGATCCTCGGCGCCACAGTCCCTCGCTTCAGCCCCCGAAGCCTTGTGAGCAGCTCGGCCTCTGCCGGCGCTGTCCGCCTGTGGCTGCTCCTGCAGGAGTCGGAGCGACACGGGGGCGCCTGCTCCGGCGTGTCCCTTGCACCGAGAAATGGCCCCCAGGCGGGATCTGGGGGCGGGTGGGGGAGCGAGGGTAGGAAGAAGGGGAAACTGCGGCGGAAGGATCATCCCCGGGGGATTTTTGGGGGCCAACGGCCTGTGTTGATTCAAAGAGTTGTGCCCCCCCCCAGCAGTGTGGGTGAGAAGGGGGTAGGGACGCTGTTGTCCCGCCTAGGAAGGACCGACCCTCTGGAGGGGGCCGCGTGGGGGAAAGGTGCGGAGATGGGTATGGGAGCAGTGGGCACACAAGCTCGAGGGATGGGTGCAGGGACTTCGTAAACTAGAGTACGTGTGTGTTTACTCGGGAGATCTGGGTAATTCATCTGTGTTTTGTGCTTACCCTGTCAGAACCTTATTTTGAAAGGGGAAGAGGGCTAGAGTGCTTAGCATGTGACACTTCTGTAGGAATAAAAGGGAATATATATATATGATTCCACTAAATGACTATTGGAAGACTAGAAATCAATAAGCGTTAAACGCTACAAATAGGGGATGTGTGTTTTTCTCCAATGTATTCATTCAACTTTGCCTTCCTTAAAGTAAGTCCTACTGCGTTCAGTTTGTTGGGAATAGTTCTGAATATAGGGTCCCCGTCCTTCAAGTTAGTCCGTGTGGGTGGAAACTTGGACCCAAGAGGAGCCCTATTGAAGTCAGTGGGGCTCCATAGAGGCACATACAGTGCACTTCTCAGAATTGGGCCCAAAGATTTCAAAATAACCCTTTCTTGATACACTATGAATAATACAATCACATAAATTGGTAAAATTTTGGATGTTTCATAGAGAATATATTTAGATCATATTATATGGAAAAGCAAGACTTCCTTTACGTTTTACTACCTATTTGATGCATATTTAGAGTTAATCATTTAATGGTTTTGAACATATTAGGATAATGAAAACTGTGTATATTTATTTCTCCCTCAAGTGTAATCATGAAATAGAGATCTTAGATGTACATCACATGGAAGAGGGAAGTGTTACACTAACCCTCTATGTCTGTAAAGCTATAAATGATGACAAACATTGTTAGCTTGCATGAGATTATGCAAAGGCAATGAAGATATTTCCTCTGTTCTATATAGGTTCTATATATGTGGTATATGAGCACCTATATGCTATTAGGAGACCAAGCAAGAACTAAAGGAGAAATCTATGCAGCATGATCTTTTACTTGGTACAGAAATTCATCAAGAACAGAATCCCACAGCAATAGACTGTACCAATTGTGAAAAAAACCTAGGTCCTGTGAACTCTGAGATAATGATTTGAAGAAATTAAAATAAGGATGAGTTTACAGTGTAATTTTAAAAATTGCAATAAGAACTGTTTTTAAACATTTCCCTATAGTATCTGAACCCCAAAGGTTGCAGTACCAAGAATCTGAAAGTGAGCAAAATGAAAGAGATTTCATTACTTTTTGCATTTCCCTGAGTTTGGACAATGAAAATAAAAAAGGGCATAAATAATAAGTATATTTGATTTTCAAATTATTTCACTGCTAATAACTGTTTTACCTATTACTTCAAATTTTCTTTACAACTTTTTTAAATCGACTAAGTCCATTTAAATTGTGTCCTTATTTATAATCTCTTCAGCATAGTCCAAATCTTAGACATTGTATTTATACTTTTATTTAAGTGGTTTTACATATCTGTGATACATAAACACATGCATACTTTCTGCCTTGTCAGAAGATTAACATTAGTGCTGCATAACTTCTTTTACAAATTTTCCTAGGTGTTAAATATTGTAAAATCTGTGAATTATGTATTCAGTGATCTAAAAAATTGTAATGGATTAATCCGGTTTCTAACTACTGTGAAACAACTTATATGAAAATAAATTTAAAATCCCGGTGCTGTATTTGTCAAACATTTTTTTTTATACTGGTATTTTTTTTCTTCCCCCCCACCCCCCCTGTTCAGGTATAAAGGTCCCCTGTTAGAGGAGGAAGCACTTAGCAAAGCAGTAGAAAATGGATTATCTTCACCAGACTTTTCTGAGCTTTGTGTTTGGTTAAGTTCCGAAATAAAATCAGTGTGTGACCTGGAAGAAAGCATCACTTCAACAGCTGGTATTTCCACAGAATTTGAACTTTAATTTATTGAAATAATGTAGTGGTTGCTTAAGACTGTTTATTGTTTATAAATTATATTTTGTTTAATAATAACCTTGTAATCTTAGTTAAAGAAACAGTATTGATGCTAAGGAGTAAGATAGTTGTAGTAAAGAACAAACCCAAGGGTAAAACTCATGTGTTGGTGTGTTCTGTTTTTAACTGTTTAAAATTTTCTTAATTCTTTTAAAACATCCTTACTATAAAAAGGCATTTACATACAACCTACAAATGATAATAGACTTTATATTTTTGTGATGACATGATAAAACAATATGTAGGTACCTCATTTAGTTAAGTTTTCCCTCCATAACTTCTTTATGTGAAAACATCCTACGAGGTAGACTCGTAGACATTAAGGCCAGAGGGGGCCATCATGATTATCTAGTATGACCTTCTGCACATTGCAGGCCATAGACCTCTTCTGCCCACTCCTGTAATAGACCTATAATCGCTGACTGAGTTACTGAAGTCCTCAAATCATGAGAATCCTCCATTATAGAGAATCCACTCTTTATGCTAGTTTAAACGTGCAAGTGATACATGCTTCAGAGGAAGGTAAAACCCCTGGGCTCTCTTCTGATGTGACCTGGGGAAAACTCCTTCCTAACCTCAAATAAGGTGGTCACTTACACCCCAAGCATGTGGTCAAAACCCGCCAGCCAGCCAGCTGGGAAAGAATTCCCTGTAGTAACTCAGAGCCTTCCCCATCTAGTGTCCCATGGGCTGTTGGAGATATTTGCTACTAGAAGTCGCAGATCGGCTATATGCCATTGTAGGTAGTCGCATCATACTACTCTCCATAAACTTCTCAAGCTCAGTGTTGAAGCCAGTTAAGTTGTTTTTTTTTTTTTTTTTTTTTTTTTCCCTCCACTACCCCCCCTTGGAAGGCTGTTCCAGAACTTTACTCCTCTGATGATTAGAAACCTTTATCTAATTTCAAGCCTAAATGTATTGATGGCCAGTATGTAACCATTTATTCTTATCAATACTGACACTTAACTTAAATAATTCTTGCCCATCCCTGGTATTTATCCCTCTGATGTATTTATAGAGAAAATCATATCTCCCATCAGCCTTCTTTTGATTAGGCCAGTGGTTTTCAACCTTTTTTGCATTTGCAGGCCCCTAAAAAATTTCAAATGAAGATGCGGATCCCTTTGGAAATTTTAGAGTCTGTGGACCCCAGGGGTCTGTGGACCACAGGTTGAAAACCACTGGGTTAGGCTGAACAAGCCAAGCTCTTTGAATCTCCTCTCATAAGGTAGGTTTTCCATTCCTCTGATCATGCTAGTAGCCCTTCTTTGGTCCTGTGATTAATCAGTAGACCTAGGTCTTTCTCCTCCTCTGTCACTTCCAACCAAGTCCCCAGTTTATAGCAAAAATTTCTGTTGTTAGTTCCTAAGTGCATGACCTTGCACTTTGCACTGTTAAATTTCATCCTATTACTATGTTTAGGGCCCTACCAAATTCGCGACCATAAAAAATTCGGACCGTGAAATCTAGTGTGTCCCGTCCCCCCCTCTCCTTTTGGGGTCAGGACCCCTACAATTACAACACTGTGAAATTTCAGATTTAAGTAGCTGAAATCATGAAATTTACTATTTAAAAACCCACATGACTATGAAATTGACCAAAATGGACTGTGAATTTAGTAGGGCCCTAACTATGATCTATGATTTGTGATATAAAAATGACAACCATGTTGTTATGGTTTGAAGGGAAAATAAAGCCTATCCCACTCTCCTTACACTAGATGTAAACTACTAGTACACTTCAACTGATTAAAATTGTTGCTTATTTATGTATAGGACTCAGTTTTTAATTTAAGATAACAGCAAGTCCTATTGGATTGGTCTCTACATAAACTAATATTATTATGTTTAAACTTGTAATTATAATTAATTTTCTTAATAACAAATTTGAGTTTAAAATAAAATTAAAAAACGTTGAATTTTTGCAATGATCTTTTTTTTCCTTTTTTCTTAAGGTGGGGAAGATGTAGAGAGCTTCCAGCTTGAGATTAGTGGTTTTTTAAAAGAAATGGCTTGCCCATATTCAACACTTGTGTCTGGAGATATTAAGGACAGGTTAAAAAAGAAAGAGGATTGTCTTAAACTCCTGTGTAAGTTGCAACAATTTTCCCTCTTGCAATAATATTTATTTTTTGTAAGCTCTTTGTCCTCTTATTTAATCTTTTGCATATTTCTCATCTCTAACATCGTTTATGTTCCACATTTTTGGTTGCTTATCTTCCACTGTCTTCAGTGTTGATATTTCCTTTGCCTCATATTTGTCTTCACAGTTATGTTCTGAAGCCCTTGATCTAGAAGTATAACTCAATGGGAGTTTTATGTAGTAATTAAGAATACCCAATAGCCTTTAGGGTTCAAGTGGCATAGAAAATACTAGTTGTTTTTTAACATCAGTGATGCTCTACCTCCTTTGAGTGTCAAAATACACTGTTTTCTGGTTGCTAATTATATTACACACCAAAAACTGTGTTAAAAGAACATTAACTTTTCAAAGTCAAGCACGCAGAAGTTAGAAAATACCAGCATAAATGTTGCCTGTGCATCTGTATGTGAGTGCTTTAGCTGAGATTAAAGTAGCTAAGATATTTGAACAGGAGTACTTGTGGCACCTTAGAGACTAACAAATTTATTAGAGCATAAGCTTTCCTGGACTACAGCCCACTTCTTCGGATGCATCCGAAGAAGTGGGCT